CGAAAGACAAAATAAAAAAAAAAAAAAAAAAAAAAACCGCTGCCTGACATCTCGCAGCAAAACGGGAGGGAAAACAAAAATAAATAAAAGTTGGAGTGTAAAGAAGTCCGTTTAGGTCTAAATATTGGCACAAAGACTGATATCCAAATTAGAAAAAAAAGTGTATATATTTAATCATAAACCACTATAAGCTACACACTGCTAGACATCCGCCTTCACAGTAGCACCAGTATACATAGGACAACCTAATCCCACGTACACGATAAAAGAAAAACCTTTCAATTCAATTCAACTTGGCTTCAGACTGGACGTGTCCACTAGAACCGTTATGTGCATATACTGAAGTGCAATTGTTGCTAACTTTGTTTCACTTGTGCACAACCAGAATAAAACAACCATGTACCACAATATTACATAAAAATAAAATAAAATACAAGGAAAACTAAAGCTTTTGTAACAAATGGCACATTACTCAATCTGATAATTGTCAGGATGAAATAAAAAATAAAAAAAGACAAAATGCAGACATCGTCATGATTACATGAGCAGGATTCACATGTTATTCAGCTCCAATAGAGTCTGTTCCAACATCTGGTTCATATCGAGGGTTTCTTCTTTAGCGTGTGAGAGTTTCTCTGTTAGAACATCAAGTGAAAGACACGTTAATATCAATGCAAAGCATGTAGGCAATAACATGCAGTGGATGCCTTGAGCATTGTCCTGTAACATACATACTTCACACACTCGGTTCATGCTTTCATAGAAATATCCATAGCAGAGATACATTATATATACACATAGTGATATACATGTGTTAATATACAAATGTATAACAGACACAGTTAAAGAGTGCTGACTCTTGCATACAGCAAAAGGCATTAGATGACATCCTAATTTAAGTGGTAGCCATCCATTATCCAAATGCTGCCTTCAAGTCCTTCTGGGACGAGTTCGGAAGTTGCAATTGAATGATTTTGGTTTGCAATAAAAAGCATTGATCAAATTCTCTTTCCCTGAATAACAACGCTAGGATGTTTATTCTCTTTTTCTTTTCCCGACATAATTCAGAGTAAAGAATAGAATTTATATAATGTACATTAATAAAAAAAAATTCTTGTAATTTTTCAAAATATATTATTATTAAATATAAAGTGTGAACAAAGTCAGGAAGGGTTTTCCTTGACAATTAAGAGCACAGGAAATTTGATTTATATAATGTATGGGATTTTTTTTTTATAACCTCTCTCTCTCTATTTTATATATATATATATATATATATATATATATATATATATATATAGCCATTAAAAATAGTGTAATTTTCTTGTATTTTTGTCATTGTCATGTTTGTTATATACTTTTAGAAGTATGTTTTTTATAATATATATATATATATATATATATATATTAATTTTGTAATTTTCTTGTATTTTTGTCATTTTTAGT